CTCCACACTGCTATTGACGTCCTCCACACTGCACACTGCTATTGACACGTCCTCCACACTGCACACTACTATTGATACATCTTCCACACTGCACACTACTATTGATACATCCTCCACACTGCACACTGCTATTGATGTGTCCTCCACACTGCCTGATATTTGTTTACTTTTAACATTTTATTTTAATGTCTCATTTGGGGGAGGGTTGACCACACATGTGGACAACTTGCAGGGAGTCAGTTCTCTCCTTCCATCAGGTTAAACCAAGGATTGAACTCAGGCTTGGCAGCATCTCTTGACCTGATGTTTATAGAACACTTTCAGTGTCAAAGAACTTACAACAACCCCAACAGCTAGCTTCCTGATCATAGCAGCTGCTATTGGGAAATAAAACACATTTTAGTGCCTCATATATCATCTTATTAGGGCACTGCCATTGGCTATTATTCTCACAACCATTCTCCAGGAGAGAAACTAGCAGGGAGCCCAAAAGGGGAAATTAGCCTTTGGGCTCTATAGTAACCTTCTCCTCTAAACACATACTAACTGCAGGGTACTGTACTACGAGTACACACCGAATAGAGTACAATAGGCATGGGAAGGATGTGGTTACATCAAGGACTCTGGAGCAGACTCCGGGGTAGATCCCTGATGCGGAATCTCGCATAGCTTCAGTGATCTGTAACATGCAGATAGCTGTAGCATCTACCTCACCATGAGGGGCTGGGTTTAAGGATTTGTACACACATTATAAAACCCATACTGGGCTAGTGTTATGACTCAGCAGGTAAAGACATTTGTCACCGGACCTGACAACCTTAATTCAGTCTGGGATCCACAGGGTGGAAAAAGAGAACTGACCATCAAAAACTGTCCTCTGAGCTCTACATGTACACTGTGGACTGCATGCCCCCACAGACACATACATATATACAAACATACATGCATACAACAAACAAGATAGATGAAGGTAAAAAAAAACTAAGTTAACCACGCAGTGGTGGACACCTTTAATCCCAGCACTCGGGAGGCAGAGGCAGATAATCTGTGAATTCAATCAAGGCCAGCCTGGTCTACAAAGTGAGTTCCAGGACAGCCAGGGCAGTTACACAGAAAAACACTGCCTCAAAAAAACCAAAATAAATAAATAAATAAATAAAATAAAGCTATGATAATAAATAAAATAAATGGAACCCCATATTAAGAAGAAGAAAAAAAAACTTTAATCCCAGCACTCAAAAGACAGAGGCAGGCAACTCTCTGTGAGTTCGAGGCCAGCCTGATCCACACAGGGATTCAGGCCAGCCAAGGCAACATAGTGAGAAACTGACTCAAAAGATAAAAAAATATAAAAAAGAAAGTGTAAAAGTAGTAGCACGGTGTGACCCGGGGCATCTACTGCACTCCACATTCTGACCACGGAGCTGGCTGGAGTAGGTGTCTACACTGGGAGACAACAGCACACATACTCACTTGGCTCTGTGGTTGTTTTTCATTTCTTCAAGAATGGAGAAGGTTGTAAGAGCACACCCACCATTGTCCAGAGATGCAGACTTTTCAATAAGATTGGTCACAAAATCATCAAAGTGACAACCAACTTCCTTCAGAAACAGTGGCTTCAGTTCCTAAAGTTTTAAATAAATAAAAATGTCGGTATTTGCTTGTGGGTCATTGACATTTCTCTCAGGGGGTCCCTTAAAGTGCGGGTCGACAGAAAGCCACACTAAACAAGTGAGCTCACAGGAGTAAAAGCAGAAGAAATAATTTCTATCATTGACTTGTAGTTTCAGGCATGTATGAAAACACAGTAATAACATATACCCTGTTGAAAATATATACCTGCCGGGAGGTGGTAGCATACACCTATAATCCCAGCACTCAGGAAACAGAGGCAGGAGGATCTCAGTGAGCTTGAGGCTAGCCTGGTCTACAAGAGCTAGTTCCAGGACAAGCCCCCAAACTACAGAGAAACTCTGTCTTGAACCCCTCACCTCAAAAAAAAGAAAATATATATCTGTCGCCTTTCTCCTCTCTTTTCCTCCCTCAAAGTTGCTATGTAGACAAACAACCCTGATCTTCCAAGCCCTCACCTCCGAGTGCTGGGATCAGTCACACGCCACCATGCCTGGGGATATGCCTAAGTCCCCAGACACTGAAGGACCACCTGGTAAATGAGCATCTAGGAAGGACACTAACATCAGAGGGACACGATGAGAGAAATTGGAGGCAGAGGCAGAGCAAGTGTGAGGCCACCTGGACTAAGACTCTGCCTCCAAACACACACAGCAGATAAAAATGAGAGAGAATTCTTTTAATAATTTTATTTAGAAAACAAAAATCAATACATTGTGTCTATATTATGTAATTACCACAGTCTTTTTTCCTGAACAAATTCCTTTGTCCCTAAGTTCCCACAATGAATATTCTAAACCATTTTTTAAAAAGATTTATCTTCTTGTATGTGTTTTGTTTCCATGTGTACATATGTACCATGCACGTGCCTAGTGTCTGCAGAGGTCAGAAGAGGGCATCAGATCCCCAGGAGCTGGAGCTATGGATGGCTGTGAACTACCATGTAGGTGCTGGGAACCAAATCCCAGTCCTCTGCAAGATCAACAAGCGCTTTTAACCACTGAGCTTTCTCTCCAACCCCCACAACAATTTACATTTTAATGCATGTCATTTTGTATCATAGCTATGTTTATATAATACTTATTCCTATCTCCATCACTATGTATTTAGCTAACCATAAAACATGAATAAAGTTATGGTGGCTCATGCCTTTGAACCCAGCACTCAGGAGGCAGCCCTCTGTGAGTTCAAGGCCAGTCTGGTCTACAGAGCTAGTTCCAGGACAGCCAGGGCTACACAAAGAAACCCTGTCTTGAAAAACCAAAAAACAAAACCAACAAAGAACATAATGAATATGTATGTGTACCTAGTTGTATCGCTAAATACTGCCATACATAAAACTTAAGAGTGTGTGTGCATACATTATACAGACATATCTATATATAAAAAATCTTATAAAAATACATGTAGAACCATGTGAAGTGGTGTACACATGTAATCCAGACACATAGAAGGCAGAGGCAGGAGGAGTCTCTATCTCAAAAGATAAATAAAAATTATACAAATTGTTATTTGGGCCTCTAGCTGTCCTTAATATTTTAAGAAAAATACTTGCAGTTTTTGAAAATATTTATATATTATGAATATATATGTCATTTTTTCAGGTTACAATATATTGACGCAAAAAATATATTGAGATCAGGCTGAGCTACACAGTGAGTTCTAGAACAGCCTGGGATGTTCTAGTGAGACCCTGTTTCAAAAAAATAGTAAATAAATAAATAAATAGGAGTGAGTAAGGAAAACAAACACAAAGCCTACAGACGCCTAAGCACGCAATTGCGCAAAGGCAGCAGGGTGGTGGGAGTGTGCTCTCACAGCGGCTACAGCTCTGCCTCAAGTGCCGGCTTAGTCATGTGCCACCACACCTGGCCCTAAAATAAATTTTAAAAAGTAAAGTGATTTTTTTTTCCAATGGAGAAGTATACCGAAAGAGAAGGGGCAGGATCTTTTGATCCCACCCAGGACTAGGACAAATCTGGGGCACTCTGAGGCACTAACTAGAGAGGCAATAATATAAACACACAAACCCAGGACCCTTCCTTGTGGAATGAGCAGTGCAATGCCCTTGGTAAGTTCTAGAATGGAGCTTTCTATTGTTGAAGCAGAAAGTGCTAAGCACTAAGGTCAGGGACAGGCAGAAAAGCGCAGGGGACAAGCCATGTATGTAAGGCCTCGGCCTCCCTACGCTTGGAGTCAAACCTCGATTTTACTCAGCACTAAAGAGAAGCCAGGTTCTTGAGACAAGGTAAAGGCTTCCAAGCCACCTCTTTCAGCACTCCTCGCACGCTGACACCAGTGTGACACAACCACGTAGCAAGTGTAAGACAATACAGGCATGGGAAGGGGTTGTTAAAGGACGTTATACAAATTTCAGTAAAAACTGCTTAGTCAAGTCTTCCTTCCTTCAGCTCCAGCTAAACAACTGCCTCAAGTTAGGGCAGAGGCGGGCAGAAGCGGGCAGGCACCATGACGGTTCGGCTGGTAAACTGTCGCAGTGCAAGCCTGGCAACCCAAGTTCAGTTGCTGGGAACCCTGACTAGAGAAAGAGCACTAACTCCCCTGACTGTCAGATGTGCACCATGGCACACTGAGTGTTACACACACACACACACACACACACACACACACACACAAATATATTATAAAATAACAAAAATTGATCAGTCTTTTTTTCTTGTTTAAGACAGAATCATGCTGTAGCCCAGGACAGCCCCTAACTCAAGGCAAGCAATCCTCCTGCCCTCGCCTGCTGAGTACAGATCCCAGGCAGGTGCCACCACACCTAGCTATGACAAAGCTCTTACTCCTTATGCACTGCTTTCATTCCCACTGAACTCAAATTTGTACGTGGGTACTTCAGGAATCCGAGATAATCTTCCTCCTCCTCCTCCTCTTTTTTCGAGACAGGGTTTCTCTGTAGCTTTAGAACCTGTCCTGAAACTAGCTCTTATAGGCCAGATCTCGAACTCTGAGATCCGCCTGCCTCTGCCTCCTGAGCGCTGGGATTAAAGGAGTGTGCCACCATCACCCAGCCTAAGATAATCATTTAAATGTAGCACCATATATACGGTATTATAATTAGCTGTCTAATGCTCATGTCTTAATGTCTGTCTTTCTCTGAGGAATTAAAAGTCAGAAGGGGGAGGAAGGAAAGGAAATGGAGAAAAATACATAGCTCAATAAAAACAGTAAGAAAAATTAACAAAAAAAAAAGTCAACAGAAGCTGCTGCCAGTGGACTCAAGAACACTTTGTGGAGACCAGGAAGTTTCTTAAACTCTCTTCAGAAACCCTCAGAGACGACATTGGTGACTGCTGCCACCCCCTCAGCGAGAGGACAGCTAGTGGAGCGGTCTGCTCCTGCTTTTCACATTCTCCTAGCACATGAAACTGTTATTTAGAATTCAAAACGTGAGCACAGTTAGTCCGAATGAAGTCTGAGTAACTGAAGTGCCATGGCATCAGCTGGGGCTTTCCCACTGACTTGGTCGCTCAAACTCGCATCTGTGAGTACTAACTTCCCTCAGCCAGTGGCCCTGGAGGAATGGACAGATGCTGAGGGAGAGGACAATGACCAGAAAAGCAAGGTGTTTAGATAATCTAGTAACCACCCAGCACTCAGGGGGCTGCGGCAGGAGGATTGCTAGCCATTCTGCATGTACCCAGGCCACCCAGAGCTACAGAATAAGACCCTGTTTCAAATGACGAGAAGCAAATAAACAGAAACCCAGCAAACAAACGCACTGTGTTTTGGGGCTCACATGAACCTTCTATTTTAAGCAAGCAGCTCAATTAGATCACCCAGAAGAGTCCAAGAATGGGGAGCAAAGATCCTGTGGTTGGAAACCTACATAATAAAAGCACACACACTCAGGAATGAGATAGGTATTCAGGCGGGAATGGCCCAACATTTTAGGCACAGATTTACAAACATGCTCACAGCCACACCTCAGAAAGCAACCTCTGTAGAAAGCCTCCAGGCTGAAGCTATACCAGACTGAGTACTGAAATGAGAAAAGAACAGTCATTCTGTGGATGAATCCAATAATTCTTCCAAAGGCTGAAAAACTTCCAAGTAGGCTGGGAGAAGCAGCACAGCGCAAACCAATCAGGGCACAATGTTTTAGCATCTCAAAACGCCACAGGACACAGGACTCACAATTTCCTCAAAGATGGCTTTAAGGAAGATTATGCTGACTCCAAGGCCCCTATGAGTCTAAGAATTGTTTGGTGGCTCTGACTCAGTGCCTGGCTCAGTCCGGAGAACCTTTTGACCTCTTGGAAAGACATTTGTGGCACTTGTGGCAGGAGCAGAAACCCGACCCTTCTAGACAAAGCAGGCATGCCCAGGGGGGCAGGAATCTGGGTCAAGTGTGCCACTGGCTCCTCGGGTCTGCCCTGGAAAGATGCCCCCTGCCCTTTTCCTTCATTGTACTTAACTCCTTTTCAAAAGTTCTCTCTTTTTCCATTTGCCTTCCCCAGTGACTTTCAGTATCTTGGTTGGTTGGTTGGTTTTTTGATCTTTTACCCAGATAAACATCAAACTGGAGGTGATCTCCTGCCTCAGCCTCCCAAGTGCTGAGATTACAGGCATGAGCTACATGAGCTACCCTGTCTTGAAAAATACCACCTCTATTTGTACATCATGCATCCGGCACTCACAAAAGTGTCTTTGTAATTTTCAAACAACTGTGGATCCAACCAGTACCAAACTCCTACACACGCCACGGTGGACTAATTCGATCTTTGTTATAAAGGATGTAGAAAGTGGTTATTAAAACACAAAACCAAACACCTCACTGACTCTTTCCCTGGAAGCTCTGAAGGAAAGGGGCTTGAAAGCCACGTGACTCCTGTTCATTAGATGAGTACGTGGGACAGATCTCTGGGAGCTTTTATACATCATCCCCAGCCT